CATCAGTCTGTTACATAATTATTCTCCACTTTACTACCAAAGTTGTTCAGAATCTTGTCATTGCTACCGAGGTTTATTACCGCCAGACCACACTTTCATTTTCTCTTGCCTTGAAACTTCCATGCCCTCACCTCACCTCCCTGCTTTCACTGAAGCCTTTACATAGACTGTTCTCAACCCAAGAATTAAAAAACGTAAGGCAGGCTTGGGACCCCTCTGCTCAAAATTCCCCAAGGGCCTCTCTTCATCACATTTGGAATAAGTTCCTTAGCTTGACTCTCAGTGTTCTTCCCAACTACCTCTCCCACTGCATTTCCTACCACTCTGCTGGCTGTCTCCACATTCTGGTTCTCAAACATGGGCAGCACACTATCATCTCTAAGCTTTGCCTTGCATTTTTCTCTGCTCTTATAATCCTTCTTTCACTATTTGCTTGGCTTGCTCCCTGTTAGTTCTTGGTTCAAATGTCACATCTTCAGAGACATCTGCCTGACCACCCTATCTAAAATAATACCACTTTGTAATCTCTAACCACGTAAGCTGCTTACATTTTTGTATCACATGTTGTCATGTATTTATTTGTGAACAAGAACTTTGTTTTGTTCACCACCGGACTACTGGCATCTAGATTATCATCTGACACATAAAGAATAGTCAACAAATATTTAATGGATAGAGTAAATAAACAGATTTTTTAAACAGAATAATATGTTCATTAATAGGAACTTGCTTAAGTCCCTGTAAGGCATCTGGAAGAGTATTTGATATTCTGCATAATTTTCTCATTTTATCTACATATCAACTCTGTGAAGTAGGCACTATGATCATCTATTTTTATTAAGAAGAAAAAATAATTGAGACTCAAGGAGTTAAAAAATACCTATAACCCCATAGAGAGATAAAAAAAAAGGTATAGCGTACATTTAAACCTAAATGAGTGTAATTTCAAAGTATTTGGTCTTTTTACTATATCATTCTACCACATATAAAACACATCAGTCAGGTTCAGGCTTTCTGAAAAAAAAATATATCAAGCCTGTGTTATAACAAATAACAAATGATCAAATGGAACAAGCGGGTATGATGTAACCCCATTAGGTATTTATCTATTTATTCACCGCCATTGAAGTATTCTCTTTAGAGCTTGTCTCTTTGGGAGCCATACATCTCTGTTTTATCTGTTCTTTCTGTAAATCCACAAAAGACACCAGCATTTACCTGATCAAAAATAATGAAAGTGCAGAAAAATCAATAATGGTAAAAGAGTAGCTACCTTCTGATTATGTTTTCCAGCAACAACTGCAAAAAAGAGGAAAAACACAAGGTTTGCTAAGATGCCACTATTTTGTACTAATCTGATATTATTAGGATGTGCTCTTTGTGGAAAATTGCCCTGTCTTTTCCTGCATTAACTTGCAGTAAAGAAGAAGCGAAAGTTCACAATATGTTTGCCTTATCTTGCCTTGTAAGATTTACTGGTGCAAGACAAAGATTTGCAGGCCTGGGTTCCAGACTGCTGTGTACTTTTTTGAATTTTCAGAGAAATGGCATTTGAAAGCCTACTTAGCCATAGTGCATTATGAGAATAAAATTAAATAAGAGGTCCAGGTAAAGTTTCAAGAACTAATTGGTAGTTATTATGGTTCTTGACATATTTTATATTGTTTAATTCTCACAACAGTTCTCTTACATGTATTTTAGAGGAAATCAGGGTGACATACCTACAGGCCCACCATAGGTCTCAATAAATACATTAATATCCAAGTTCCAAAAATAATAATATCACCCAATATAGAGGATTTTCTTAAGCTTATTGCTTTCAGATTCTATAATTTCCTCCAAGTGTCATAATTTCAAGTATTATGAAGAGCTAGGCAAGACCACAGAGGTGGGTCTGCATTAAAGATGTAGCAAGAATTATCAGTTAGGCAAGGCTTCAGCTTGTTTTCATGTCCTTTTCCTATTTAAACAGAGTACAAGAAATGCAAATAATGTATATAAGACCAAGAATACAAGGATACAAGGATAGTAAAAATATACCCTCATTTTTACTATTCCCTAGTTCTAAACAGAGTGCCAGTGAAGTTCAGTGGTTTTAGCTACTTGCTTGGTCAGAAGAAGCCACGACTTTTGACTTAAATTTAAGACTGAAACCATGAAACTACTACAAGAAAACATTGGGAAAAATCTCCAGGACATTTGTCTGGGAAAAAATTTCCTGACTAAAACATCCTACAGGCATGGGCAATCAAAGCAAAAATGGATAAACAGGATCACATCAAGTTAAAAAGGTTTTCGGCACAGCAAAAGTAACAATCAACAAAAAAAACATATAACACACAGAATGAAAGAAAATCATTGCAAACTACCCATCTGACAAGGGATTAATAAGCAGAATATATAAGAAGTTCAAACTAGTCTACAGGGAAAAAAAATCTAATAATCTGATTAAAAATAGACAAAAGATCTCAAAAGATTTCTCAAAGAAGACATACAAATGAAAAACAGGTATATGAAAATGTGCTCAACATCACTGATCATCACATAAATGAAAATCAAAACTACAATAAGATATTATCTCATCCAAGTTAAAATGGCTTATATCCAAAGCACAAGCGATAACAAATCTGGTGAAGATATGGAGAAAATGGAATTCTCATAGACAGTTGGTGGAATGTAATTTAGTACAACTACTATGGAGAACAGTTTGGAGGCCCCTCAAAAAATAAAAATAAAAATAGAGTTACTGTATAAGCTAGCAATCTGGCTGTGGATATATCCAAAACAAAGGAAATTAGTATATTGAAGATATCTCCATTCCAATGTTTGTTGCAGCACTCTTCACAATAGCCAATTATTCGGAAGCACCCTAAGTGTCTGTCAACTGATAAATGAATAAAGAAAATGTGGTACATATACAAAATGGAGTACAATTCAACCATAAAGAATAATGAGATCCAGTCATTTGCAACAACATGGATGGAACTGGAAGTCATCATGGTAGGTGAAATAAGCCAGAAAAAGAAATACAAACATCACATATTCTTACTTATTTGTGGAATCTAAAAAGCAAAACCATCAAACTCACGGAGACAGAGACTAGAAAGATAGTAACCACAGTCTGAGAAGGGTAGTGCTGGGGTGGGGGATTAGTGTGAATGGTTAATGAATAATTTAAAAAAAAGGAATGAATAAGACCAAGTATTTGATAGCACAACAAGGTGACTATAGTCAAAATAGTTTATTTGTACATTTAAAAATAACTAAAATAGTATGACTGGATTGTAACACAAAGGATAAATGTTAGAAGAGATGGATACTCCATTTTTCATGATGCAGTTATTGCATATTTCAATATTGTATCAAAATATCTCATGCACTCCTTATAACTACTATGTACCCATAAAAATTACAATTTCAAAAAAAAATAAGGCATTTCGTCTTGTTTACATTCTGTGCTCTGCAGGAAGAACTGCATTTTATTTTATTTTATTTTATCTCACTTTATTTTATTTCATTCTATTTGAGATGAGGCTCTTGATATGTTGCACAGGCTAGACTCAAACTCCTGGACTCAAGCAATTCTCCTGCCTCACCCCCTCATCTTCTCAACCCAAGTAGCTGGAACTAAAGGCATACACTACCATGCCCAGCTTGAGAACTTAATTTTACATGATAATACTTAGGTGTGTGACTATCCAATATTTCAAAAATCTCCTTTGATAAAATATCTCAAATTAACCAAGGTTTTCCTATATTGAATTTTACTAACTTGCCCCTAAAGTTTGTTACTCAGACATGTATTGTTACATGGTATTAATATTACCCTTAATGAAGGCACAATTCATCAGAGATGTCATAGATATGACACAACCAAAGAACCGAATCAAGACCCCAAAATTTCACAAAGATGAGGAATAATAAGCTGGAACATAGAAGATGGTATTTGTGGGCACAAATGTAATATTGTTCCCTCGGGTACAGAAGCAAATTCTCACACAGAGAGGATGGCATTTATGTAGCATGGTATCCATGTTATCATCATCACTTTCACTCTCATATTTCTTGAATAATTTCTATGTACTTGGCACTGAAAATGTGATTTATATTAGTTAGCTTGTGTACCATATGGGGTAGATCTGTTATGTTTATCTTACAGATTAGGAAACAAAAGCAAAGTGTATCTGCTGAAGCTTACAATACTAATGAGTTGGGTCTAGGATTTGAATGCATATAGTTTTTCTCCAGGGCCTACAATCTTTCAGGCTATGTAATGGGTTTTATGTATGCTACAGCTGCTATAAAAACAAATGACATAATAGGCTACATTAAAAGAAATAGATGAATCTATGAGGCAACAGGTTCACAGTTTACCTTACAGTAACCCAAGTAATTTGCTGCAGAGCCAGGTTTGAACTAGGATTTGCCATCATTCTAATCATGCTTCTGATCATTGTTTTGCTGCCACAAATGCAATGCCATCTCCAACATAGCTAGAGTCAATTTAATGCCTTTCCATATCACAGGATTCTTACATCAATCAGAGACTTTAGAGGAATACATTTATAGGATTCATTTAGAATTACTATTCTAGTACAAGCAACCTTAATCTACCCTAGAGTGTATACTTTCTAAAGTATAATGGGGGTTTGTTGAAGGTCTTCCCGCCACAGAAGTAGACCAAAGTTTGAATATTATCCACTGAGAGCCCATGCCCAGTATAAGAAATTTATTCAGAGGATTTATACTTACAAGCATGGCTTACCACTGTTATGTCAAAATATGCATAATTAAGAGCATCTAGAAAAATTGTCCATTTTAAATTTTAATTTGAAAGAATTATTAATAATAACAATATCCAAGAGCATTAACTTGTTGGTATCATTCTTAACAGTAAAGCCTAGTTACAAAAGTTTGGCATCAAAATGCAAAAAAAAAAAAAAAAAAAAAATTCTAATGGCCGGGCGTGGTGGCTCACACCTGTAATCCCAGCACTTTGGGAGGCCGAGGCGGGTGGATCACGAGGTCAACAGATCGAAACCATCCTGGTCAACATGGTGAAACCCCGTCTCTATTAAAAATACAAAAAATTAGCTGGGCATGGTGGCGTGTGCCTGTAATCCCAGCTACTCAGGAGGCTGAGGCAGGAGAATTGCCCGAACCCAGGAGGCAGAGATTGCGGTGAGCCAAGATCACGCCATTGACTCCAGCCTGGGTAACAAGAGCGAAACTCTGTCTCAAAAAATAAATAAATAAATAAATAAAATTCTAAAATAGTCTTTTATTATTCCTCATAAAATTTTGCATGTTTAACACATGTGGTATCAAACTGGATTAGATAAAGAAAGCCTTCAGTGAAATCATTCCAAAGAGAGTTTTTGTAGAAGCCAAAGTAGCAACATCTTGCTAGATCTCACCATTGAGATCTAGCTGTGCTTCATTATGTACCAAGTGTAGCAGCACAGTCAGTCAGTATGCTTAGAATGTCAGTTTCTCCTTCAAAATCTGTCATTATTGAGAAATAAAATACAATATGCTATCTACAAATAAAAATGATAAAGAGACATAAGTGAAATATTTAATACTATAGGTAATAAAGATAAATGAAAACAATTCACTGGTCAGAGATTGTTCAAAGCCAAGAAATCTTGGGAGCGAACCTGTGGCATGCCCACAAAGAAACTCCAGAATGTGAGTAAAAACTGTAAGTATTCTTCATTAGAGTGAAAAAAAAACACATGATTATATGATATATTAGTTTGCTTTCATGGTACTGATAAAGACATACCCGAAACTGGGAATGAAAAGAGGTTTAATTGGACTTGCAGTTTCACATGGCTGGGGAGACCTCACAATCATGATGGGAGACAAGAGACAGTTTTCACATGGCATCAGCAAGAGAAAAATAAGGAACAAGCAAACTCAGAAACCCGTGATAAACCGATCAGATCGTGTGAGACTTATTCACTATCAAGAGAATAGCACAGGTAAAATAAGCCCACATGATTCAATTACCTCCCCCCTGGGTCCCTTCTACAACACAAGGGAATTCTGGAAGACAAAATTCAAGTTGAGATTTGGGTGGGGACACCACCAAAGCATATCATTCTGTTTCCGGCCCCTCAATCTCAATTCTTAACTTCTGTGCACCTGCAGGCTCCACACCATGTGGAAGCTTCCAAGGCTTGGGGATTCCTCCTCTGTAACTACAGCATGAGCTCTATATTGGCCCCTTTCAGCCATGGCTGGAGCAGGTGGGACACAGGGCACCAAGTCCCTAAGCTGCACACAGCTTGGGGACCCTGGGTTCAACTCATGAAACCACTTTTTCCTCCTGGGCCTCCAGGCCTGTGATGGGAAGGGCTGCCATAAAGGTCTCTGACATGGCCTAGAGACATTTTCCCTATGGTCTTGGGCATTGACATTATGCTCCTTGCCTAATAATAATCAGGCTCCTCAAAAAAATATGTATATTTTTTTCTACTACTACATCAGGCTTCTACAAAGTTTCTGAACTTTTATGCTGTTTCCCTTTTAAAATGGAATGTTTTAACAGCACTCAAGTCATCCTTAGAATTGCTTTGGTGTTTAGAAATTTCTTCCACCAGATACCCTAAAACATCTCTCTCAAGTTCAAAGTTCTACGAATTTCTAAGACAGGGACAAAATGCCACCAGTCTCTTTGCTAAAACATAACAAGAGTTACCGTTGCTCCTGTTACCAACAAGTTCCTCATCTCCATCTGGGACCACCTTAGCCTGGACTTTATTGTTCATATCACTATCAACATTTTTGACAAATTCTTTCAACAAGTCTTTAGGAGGTTCTAAACTTTCCCACATTTTCCTGTCTTCTTCTGAGCCTTCCAAACCATTCCAATCTGCCTATTACCCAGTTCCAAAGTCACTTCGTCATTTTCAGATATCTTTTCAGCAATGCCCTACACTACTGGAACCGATTTACTGTATTAGTTCATTTTCAAACTGCCTATAAAGACACACCCCAAACTAGAAACAAAAAGAGGTTCTATAGGACTTACAGTTCCACATGGCTGAGGAGGCTTCAGAATGATGGCAGGAGGCAAAATGCACTTCTTACATGGTGGCGGCCAGAGAAAAATTACAAAGAAGCAAATATGGAATCACCTGATAAATCCATCAGATCTTGTGAGACTTACTCACTATCCACAAGAACAGTACAGGAAAAACCAGCCCCCATGATTCAGTTACCTCCCACTGTGTCCCTCCCACAACACAAGGAAACTGTAGGAGTTACAACTCAAGCTGATTGGGTGAAAACCATATTGTGTGTTAACAATGATTTGTTAGACAAGGCTTTTCCCAATAGTCATATTAATATGAGTTTTTTAGAAAAAGTGAATGCTTGAATAAAGTTTTAAACAATACCAAGTATAGAATCAAAAGGCAGAAGAAGAAAATGCAATTTAATATCACAGAAAAATAACTGAAAATAACACTAAAATTATAATTCACTGGCCTGATTTAAATTCTACCACCCCCAGTTAGTAGTGTATAAATAACTATTTGTCCACTTGTAAAATTAGAATTATATATTCCTTACAGTGTTGCAGGGGTTGAATTAGATAATGTATGTAGGCATCTAGCATATAACAATTACATCACAATGAATGAAAGCTTTTGTGAAGCTATGGGATGCTTAAGGGAAACTGCTAAAATAATATTTCTAATAATAAAACATAATTACAGAAATTATATTTATAAACTGACTTATTTTTTTAAAAGTTACTTGCAATAAAAGTCTTTGTTTTGGTATAGAATCCTATGAGTTTTAACACACATAGATTCATGTAACCACTACCACTAACATAATACAGAACAATTTTATCACCCCTAAGGATTTCTTCATGATATGCTTAACCTCGAGCCCTCATCACTGGAAACCACAAAATGTTTCCTTCTCTCTTGATGGAGAAACTGTGGCATTCTAAGCATCCTGATTGACTGTGCTGCTATTCTTGGTACATAGTGTAGCGCATCTAGATCTCAGTGCTGTTAGGCAAGATGTTGCTACTTTGGCTTTCTACAAAACTGTATCATTAAAGCTTTACATTTTTCAGTATATCATGTGGATGGAATCATATAATACCTAACACTCTGAGTCAGTCATCTTCTACCTAGCATAAAACATTTGATGTTTATCCAAGTTGTTGCAATGTGTATGAACAGTTTGTTCCTTTTTAGTTCAGAGAATATTCCGTTATATGTATATGTCAAAATTTATCAATTTAGTCACTAAGGGACATTTACATTGTTTCTAGATTTTAGTGGTTACAATTAATGCTGCTAAAAGCATTTATGTACAGTATAGTTTTTTTCAATGTCCACATTACTGATAATTTGGTCTGGATAACTCTTTGCTGTGGGGAACTGTTTCTTGGTGCACTAGCAGCATCCCTGTCTTGTATACACTAGATGCCAGTAACACCCTCCTCTCAAGCTGGGAAAACCAAAAATGTTTCCAGACAATCTCTCATTGGGTAAAAATTACCCCCAGATGTTCAGGTTTTTGTGTGAACATATATTTTGCATTCTTTAGAATAAATACTTATAAATGTGATTATTGAGACATATGAGAATTCTATTTTTAACTTTGTAATTAACTTTCAAACTGTTTTCTAGCATCTGTAGCATTTGTATTCCTCTAGTAAAGCAATGCAGGAGCGGTTCAGTTATTCTTCATTCTTACAGTCCTTGTTGTCAGAACTCTTTTTGTTTTTTTCTCTGCTTTCTATATGTGACAAATGCCAATATTTTTATAGTAACCACATGAATAAGTTTTTAATGGTGTCAAAATATGATATTAATTTTCCTACTGGCTAATGATGTTGAACATTTTTTTATGTGCTTATTTTACAACCAGATATTTTCTTTAATTAAATGACTATTCAAATATTTGGCTAATTTCTATTGGGGTGTTTGTTTTCCTAAAGATAATTCTTTTGTATTCTTTATATATTCTGGGTACAATTCCTTTTTCAAATATGTCATTTGTAAATATTTTCTATTACTTTCTCTTTTCTTTTTTCTTTTTTTTTTTTGACATGGAGTTTTGCTCTTGTTACCCAGGCTGGAGTGCAATGGCATGATCTCAGCTCACTGCAATGTCTGCCTTCCAGATTCAAGGGATTCCCCAGCCTCAGCCTCCCAAGTAGCTGGGATTACAAGTGTGTGCCACCACACCCAGCTAACTTTGTATTTTCAGTAGACAGGGTTTCACCATGTTGGCCAGGGTGGTCTCGAACTCCTGAAGTCACGTGATCCACTAGCCTTGGCCTCCCAAAGTGCTGGGATTACAGGCATGAGCCACCATGTCCAGTCTACTTTTGCCTTTCTTCTCACTTTCCATAGAATATCCTTTAGAGAACTGATAAAGTCTAATTTATCTTCTTTTTTATTTTATGGATAATGCTTTTGATTTTGCATTTATGAACTATCTGCTTATCCAATGTTATAAAGAACATTATCTACATTTTCTTCAGTGTTCTACATTTACAGTTAAATCTATCAACCATTTAAAGTTAATTTTCTGTATATGACATTACAGGTTCATTACTTTTGTATGTGAAAGTCCAAACATCGGCCGGGCATGGTGGCTCACACCTATAATCCCAGCACTTCGGGAGACTGAGGCGGGTGGATCACAAGGTCAAGAGATGGAGACCATCCTGTCAACAAGGTGAAACCCCGTCTCTACTAAAAATACAAAAATTAGCTGGGCATGGTTGTGCATGCCTGTAATCCCAGCTACTTGGGAGTCTAAGGCAGGAGAATTGCTGGAACCCAGGAGGCGGAGGTTGTGGTGAGCCGAGATCGTGCCATTGCACTCTAACCTGGGTAACTACAGCGAAACTCCGTCTCAAAGAAAAAGAAAAAGAAAGTCCAAGCATCCCAGAACCATTTGTTGAAAACTTTGCTCTTCTCCATTGAATTGTCTTTGCACATTGTCAAAAACAATTGGCCATATGTGAAGGTCTGTGTACTGTTCAATAGGTCTACATAGTTTATTCTGTCAATACTACACTGTCTTCATTACTGTAGCATCATAATATGTCTTAATATCATGTAGCTCCTCCAACTTTATTGTAATTTTAAAAATTGTTTTGACAATTCAGATTTTTTAGATTTCCATATAAATTTTGAAATAAAGTTTATGTATCTACAAGGAATTCTGTTAAGATTTTGACTGGGATTCCATTAACTCCATACATCATTTTGGAGAGAACTGATCTTACTGTATCTTTCAGTCTTTTTACAAAGTTACACTATTCTTCATTTATTTACATCCTCTCGGATTTCTGTCATCAGTGTTTGTAGCTTTCCCTATACATATTTTGCAAGTATTTTGCTAGATTAGTATCTAATTATTTTATTTGGAATGGGAAGCATATTGTAAAGTGTATTTTTTTCTTTCAAGTTTCAGTTTCTAATTCTTAATTTTGATGTATGATAGTTTTTTGTTTCTTGGCCTTTCTAAACTTACTTTTGAACTTTTAAAGTTATTTAGTGTATTCATTGGTGTATTTTACATACAAAATTATTGTATTTTCAAATTAGGGCAGTTTATTTTCCTTAACAATTAGAATACATTTTATTTATTTATTTTTTACCTTAGTATACTTTCTAGAACTTGCAGCACAATAATAAATAGGAGTAGTCCAGAGTGGCCATACTTACCTGGATCACAGGGGAAAGTGCTCAGTCTTCCACTGCATAATGGTGTCTGAAAAAAAAAGTAGATATTTTTCTACTCATAGTGTTCTTCAATTTTTTAAATAATAAACGGATACTAAATTTTGTCAAAAGCTTTATTCTGCAGCTATTAATATAATCATATTTTTTCTTATTTAGTCTATTAATATAGTGGAAACCAATTATTGGTTTTCAATATTGAATTAGCATTGATTTCCTGGTGTAAAACTATTTTGCTACGACCTGTCATACTCTTTATATATTGCAGTATTCCATTTTATAATATGTGTTGAAGTTGCTCACACTCATTTAACATATGAGGGATACTGGCCTGTAGTTTTCTTTTACTTTATTGTCATTTTCTGGTCTTGGTATCAGAGTAATGCTGGCCTCACACAATGAGCATGGAAGTATTTCTTTTTCTTCTGCTATTATAAAAGATAATATAGAACTGATATTAATTATTCTGTAAATGGTTGATATAAATGGTTGATAAAAATTCTCCAGCAAATCCATTTTCTTCTGAAGTGTTTTCTTTTGTTTGAAAATTTTTTTAACTAAAAACTTTATTTAAAAAATATAGAATTATTTAGATTATTAACTTATTTTTTATTAAATTTTATTGGTTTGTGTCTTTCAAGGTACTGGTACATTTCATCTGGGTAGTGGAACGAATGTGCACAGAGTCGTTCAAGTTCTTTTGTTATTATCCCTTTACCATCTATGTTGATATTATTTCTTTTGTTGTCCATGTGCCTTCTTTCTTTTCTTATTGGAGAAACTGTCAAGAGGTGTATCAGTATTATTGATGCTTTAAAACATAGTTTTGGCTTCATAAATTTTTCTTTTGATTTTCTGTTCTTAATTTTAGTGATTTCTGATTTTATCTTTCTCATATCCTTCTTTCTGCTTGCTTTGGTATTGGCTTTTACGTCCTGTTGTGTCTTAGATTGTCTCTTAAATTACCAATTTGATATCTTGTTTTTCTAATATAAGCACATAGTGCTCTACATTTCCATCTCTGTAATAGCTGTATCTCATATGTTTTAATATATTCTATTTGTATTTTCAAAATATTTCTAGTTTCCTTCAAGACGTATTCTTTGATATATGGATTATTTAGTTCTGTGTTAATTTCCAAATAGATGTGGACTGTCCAGACATCCTGTTATTGATTTTTAGTTTAATTTCCATATGATCAAAGAATACATTTGGAATAAATCCAATTATTTTATATTTATTAGCATGTATTTTATGACCTAAGATGTGGTCTATACTGCTGAATGTTTTATGCGCACTTTGTGTTAATGTGTATTCTGTTTTGCTGATTGGAGTATTTTAGAAATGTCAATTAATTCATCCTTGCTATTTTTTTTCTGCTTATTCTATAGATTATTGATAGGTAAGTGTTGGTCTTCAAATATAGTTGAAAATTTATCTCTTTATCTTTCCAGTCTATCAGCTTTTGCTTTATATATTTAGGAACTTTAAGTATATAAATTTAGAATTATTATATCTTCTTAGTGAATTGACTTTATCACTTTATAAATTTCCTCTTTGTTCCAGATAATCTCTTGATTTTAAAATTTGCTTTGTTTGATATTACTAAAGACACTTGAGCTTTATTTTCAAAGGGCTAGTGACATGGTATTTTCTTTACCATCATTTTTTAATCAATATGTTTTAAGTGCATTGCTTATAAATAGTAGAAAAGAGGGTATTTTAAAACATAAAATTAAGATGACTTTTCTTTATATATTGTATGCATAGACCATTTATTTACCTCCAATGTTATTATTGATAAATTAGATCTGGGTCTACCTTTTTATTATTAGTTTTCTTTGGGGTCCTTCTTTTATATTTCTGCTCCTCTGTGTTTCATTTTTAAATTCTGTTTGTTTGATTTTTAATGTTTTTTAAAATTCCGTTTTGTCAATTGTAGTTAAATACAGTTGCAGCTTTAGAGATTAAAACACAAATGCAAAACCTTTCCCAAACAACTTAGAGTTACTTTTTTCTACTTCTTATGACTAAACACAGTTTTTTACCCTCTTGCCTTTTTGATGTGACATCTACTTACATTGAAACTCCCATCAGAAACTGTTATAATTTTAGCTTTCAACAGCCATACATAGTTTAATAAATTTAAGAGGCAAAAATATACTAACCAGGTTTCATTCTATTATTTAATCTGACAATATCTTTATTTTGGGTTTATTCCAGAAAGATATTTTTATTAGATGTAGGATTAAGATAACATTTCTTTTCCGTCAGTGACTTAAATATGTTATTCAACTGTCTTCAATCTTCATGGATTCTTTTGGATAATCTGAAGTAATATGAATTGTTGTTTCCTTATATGGTATATTCCACTTTTATACTGGATGCTTCACAAAGATGTATTTTAATCTTTGGTTTCAAATAGTCTGACTTAGTGTTTGGGTGTAAATTTTTTGAATTTATCCTGTTAAGTTCACTGAGTTTGTCGGATTTTCCAACTTGTTTTACCTCAAATTTGCAGTTTGGGTGCACACCTATCTCTTTTTCTCTCTTCTGACAGTCCAGCGACACCAAGGTAAGACTTTTTGATATCATTTGTTAGTTACCTGAGACTGTGTTTGTATCTTTCACAGTTTTTAGTTTCTCTGTTACTTAGGTTGGGTAATATGCTGATCTGCCTAGAAGACCACGTTTGATGTTTGATCACTACTACCACATCTGCCTTGCATAAGGTGTGGAAAGTAAAAAAGACTGCCCTATGAGGCAGTCTCCACTAAGCCAGTGATAAAGGGGTGTTGCCTCATTTTTTTTTAATGCTCTTTTTTTTTTCACAAGGTGGTTTAAGAGTAGAACATGTAATTCTTACAAGGACAGCCAGATTGCAGTTGAGAGCTATCTATAGATTTATGGTAGTTCTAAAGGAAACCTCACAGATAGAGGCACTGAAGGGGAAAACTTCCTAGTGAAAGAAAATGATTCTCTTACTGAAATGTGAGAATAGAAATCTTGGATCAGGAAGGAGTGAATCAGGTGAAGGATAAATTTTCAGTAGGCATTTTGTGTACAACTTATCAACATAAGAAGGAAAACTATTAGGGTAGAATTGAGGACCTTTTCAAATATGTAAAAACAATAAACATTCCATTTGTAAGATTAGTAACATATTTTAAAGCCATTATTTCTTACCTAAATAAAACCAAATATGAAGCAGAGGAAAACAGATTTATATTGTCTTTTAAGAAAATATTTTATAGAAATTATAATGTGGGAAACAAGCTATATTGTGAAGTGAAAAGTTTCCCATCCTGAATGTTTTAAGATGGTCCAGCAGAAAATGGGCAACCACCTTGCAAGAATTGCACAGAGGGCACTTCCACCCAGAGTTGAGAAGTTAGTAGATGGTCAAACATCCCTTTCAATTCTAAACAGCTAGAGTGATTTTAGTTACCCAAACAAAATCATTTACAAAAGGATAAAACCCAGAACAAAAGTAATGACTCAGAAAAAAATTTAAAATACTTGGTAAAAATAAATCTTTAACACATTGTTTTATTTATTTTCAAACTTCCGATCTGAAAATTTTCACCACTGAATCCCCTAAGTTAAACACATACAGTATCATCTCTTACAAGCCAATCTGTTTCATTTGGTTTATGAGTAATAAATAACAGAATGTCTAGTAGGTTAAATTTAAGAAATAATAGCCTCCATAATAGGTAGAGATAAATGTATTGATAAATACATTTAACTTAAAATTGTTAAGTTATATGAGAGTTAACAGAAGAGACTGCCACAATTTTTAATAAATATCTAACGTTTTTAAAAAGCATATGCATTAATCTTTTTATTTTTACTTGATTGGCAAATAAACAAAAATGAGTAATTTGATTTTCTTATCTATGTAAACTGTCCTCATTTTTTAAGTCAAGGATTTTTAAGAAATACCAATGTGTACCCTTAGTATTTCCATGGCCTCAGTCTCTAAGGAAAACACAACAAAAGATTATTTACACTTAGTTATTACCAATAACTAAGACTTATTGGTCAGCTAATATGTGCCAGATGCTCTGATAGGCACTAGGTTATAAAATAAGGTTATAGTCACTATTCTGAAGGAAACTTCAATCTAAGTAGATATACAAGCATGAGGGTAGTCACAATAACAGCTATTTGGGAATTTTTAATATGTGGATTACACTTTCCTAAAGTATTTTTATGTATTTATATATTTGAGATTATAACAGTACTCTGAGATAGGCCCTGCTGATGTAAGCTGATTAAGTCTCACAGACATGTTGCAATAATATTATAATCCTTATCTTCTGCAGAGGGTGAGTGCTCATATAAATTCCTAGTAAGCACAATGAAGGGGCATATGTCAGATTCTGTGTTTATCACTTTTTGGCATTCTGTTCTCTGTGGAAAAGAGAGAGATTGGCATACTTTAAAAAGCTGAATTTTCTGCTCTACTGTGTAACTGGCATTCCATACATGATTTAGGATATACCAATAATATTGCTTATACATGCCTCAAAAAGTACTAAATTATTTGGAGAGAGAGGCAGAGTGCAGAAAATGTCTATTTTGATGATATAGATCAACAAGCTGTGAAGTTTCAGAGCTGATCACTTCTCAATAAAGCACTTGACCCTGATTTGACAGCCACCCCGTTCCGGCAGAGGTGGCTTGTTCTGGAACTAGTGGCCACAGCAGCAGTTTCTTGGGTCTGCAAATCATGGTACAGGTAGCAGCTCCCTTGGCTTTGTTGTGCTGCAATTTGGGGAAGTTTTCCTGGAAGTTTAGCTAAGAGTCCTTTTCGTCAGTCTCCCTGGAAAACACTGTGAGCTCTTCCTAAAAATATTGTAAGCTGTCGATCACACTTCATAAATTCTTTTTTGCTTAAACTATGGTTATAAATTTGTTTGATACAGCTGCCACTGCAGTATCCATTTTTAGTCCTGCCATAAATTGTTTAAAATGGTCATATCCCATCACCTTTGGCTTAGTTAAAATGAACCTTCCCTGTGGGTGTGTTTGTGGGATAGCCTGCGTATTCCTTGTCTCACTGACCTGAAACCCAACACACCCCACAGCCACTGACCATGATAAAACCATAGTCATGGAAATGTTTCTCCTTCCACATGTGTTTTTTAAACTACCCAGTCCTCACCTCTTGTGGGAAAGCCTAAATAATAATGTTCATGGACTTTAATAAAGGCATAGTCCCACGGGTTCTTTCTCTCTTGCTCCCTGCCTGCTGCTTGAGCTTCAAGCTGCCTCCAGACTTTTCATGCCTCACCTCCCCATTGACACCATTAACCTCTCCGAGATCTATAAATAATACATTGCTTTCTGGTTGGTGCATTTCTGTTTCATCTCTTCATTGTATCTCACCTGACTGACACAGCTGATCGTAACCTTCCCTCTGTCAGGGTTCTCCTAGAGAGGAGCTCTCTTGGCTTACGGTGCCTCATAACAGACAGCCCTCAAGACAAAATGAGAAAAAAAACCATCACAATAAAAATCACAACTATCTAGAATGTTTCTAATGTCTGTGTGTATAATTTTTGACTAATTTGGAGCACTCTGTCCAGCCTGAGGGCAAGGGAATAGGATAAAGTAAGGACCTTGGAAGAAATAACATCTGTGGTGATCTTGAAGAAAGAGTTCAAGAAAAGGAGGGTAACAAGTCATCTGTGAAGTAACAGTTTGCAATAGATTTAGATGCATCAGAAAGTATCACATCCAGAGGACCACAAGTACTGGAATATTCGCTATTGACATATGATTGCCTTGAAGTTTCATTTGTGACACACAATTTCTCCTGAAAAGTTTATGCAAAATATCTGTATCACTTAAAGCTTTCTGAGTTCTTCTGGTATCAAAAGACTCAACAATAGAATCTGATTAGTGTAATTATAGCTCGTTACCTGTATGATTAAGGACACATCTGTTTGAAAAAAGCATCTATAAAAAGAATGTAATCTGAGGTCAAATTTCTTTGGTCGTTGTTCTAGTTTTTTTTTTTTTTTTTTTTTTTTTTTTTTTGCCATAAATTCTCATTATATACTTTGTAGGTTATCAGTGAAATCAATGGTTTGGCAAAAGAGATTTTTTTTTTTTTTTTGGTCAACATGTATAGGCCCACACTGAAGTTTATTCAATTCTGTCCCCTCTTTTAGAATGACGATTTGCTGCCAAATTTTACTCTCAGAGTTCAACACCCTACTCCCCATCTACTTACCTTCCTAACCTCTGGGTCTGACACATCCAACTATACATTACCCTAATATCCCACTCTATTCCACATTATGGAAAATGTAGTCCAAAGGGTTAAACAACTTGCTCCAGTTTGTAAAGACTTAAAACCAGAAAGATTGGCCGTACTCCAGACCCCTGCCTTGACTACTAAGTTTAGCTGCCGTATTATCACCCAGAAAGAAACTATCTGAAGAAAGCTGAAGATCCTTAAAAAGAAGCACTGTGAATAGATGTATTAGTAGCTAATCTAAATTAAAATGTTTTCCTCTATGAAATTGTGGTTCAGCAAGAGATACATCTTTTCCAATCAAGATTATGTCTGATCATTAGATTCAGCATTATAAACAAATAGAATTATATAAATCTCTGCATGAACTTTCTTATTAATAATAGTCTTTTTTGAAATAAGATGGGAGGAAAAGGCAAACAAGAGCAAAGTAATTGTTAGACAGAAAAAATCTAGGTGGAGAAACCAAGTTTACCAGTTTTCTGCCTGATAATTTTTGAAAATGAAAATATGGAATGACTAGTCTTTTATTTGCCACTTTCATTCAATTTCAAAAGTAATTTTTGTTTTAAATAACTTGCTATAATATTAAACTCAATAAACACAGATCAGTTTTTTAATAGCTTAAAAGAAGCGGTAATAATGCATCTTAGTATCATTCTGGAATAATTCTTCAAATATATACTTTTAAATTCTTTTTTTCAGTTAATGTAACCAAGGCAAAACTCTTCTCAGGGGAAGATATATTACTATGGTAAGTCTGTTTTAGAATATGGTTAAAATTTACATGTTTTAGAGTATATTAAAAAAACAGTCTTTTAAAATACAGTATCTTTGAAAATCACTATCAAAGTAGAAGTTGGGCTAGGCTAACAGCATGATTCCAGACGTTATGTCTCATAAGCTTGATTCTATGATAACGTAAACCCAGAGCTCTTCCAGCTCCTGGCAAACCAAGAGGTACACATATTGACTTGTCACATTTCAGGTCATTGATAGGACCGCATTTGCAAGTGGATGGGGTCTTCTGAGAACTTCTGTTGACATGCACATACTGCCTTTCGGTAGCATGTGAACTGGATCCAGATCTGAAGACTTTTTCTCTGGTCAGCCCACTCCTTACACCAAGTGGGATTAAAAAGCATTTCTGTGTCCCTTAGACAAGTGTTGTGAACATATCTCCTAGGCCTTAGCAAATAAGGAGTCATTGTTGTCTGATGTTTCTAATGTATAACTATAAAAAAGAATTAGGTATGAAGATAAGTTTGCTTCCTTGTGATATGTATATTTGTGTTGTTAAACACAATGGCTTAGAACATATGTTTTGAAGGTCAAACCTTTCTTTAAAAATGAAAATGCTGAAGTAATTTTACCTATTTCATTCAGTTGCTGCCAGTTAACTAGCTCATGAAAAAATTAAATAACACCTACAAATTCACAACTGCTTAATTTAGTAAAACGATATAAACCTTCCTACTCATGGGTTGTGTTTCCTGTGAAGCCGTTCACACCCTGAAACTAGCCACACAGCAAGTCACATTATATACAGAGCTATCATTTCAGGTTATTACTGTGCCATATTACCTCATCGAATATCAAGAAAATCCTGACAGGCCCATGATATAAGTTAAAACAAACGAGAACTCTTAATCTCATCAAGAAAATTAAGAGTTGTCATGACCATTTTGTCTTAAATTGCAGTATTTTCTTGAGCCACTCTGCAGTGTTTCCTTTTGTTCACACAGGAGGCCATCAATGGCTATTCATAATTGTTATCTTTAAATAAAAACTCTATTCTGATGTAATGATGTGCTACATTTTTATAAGACAATGCTATAAACTCAAAATGACTCTTCTCTTTAAACTATAATTAAGTAGTGTACTCTTTAACATGACAATGAAATCCAGTGATTATGGCAAAAATCACTGGGAAGTACTGAAATATGCACAACTTTAATTTGTAGGACCAGTTTTTCCTCATAAATATTGGAAACTGCACTAACATCTCCGTTTTTATCCTCTAGAGGGCTAAACATTCTATTCCTTTGAGGAGCAGAAATGTAGCTGGTTTCCAACTGGAAGGAGCTAGTGAAGCCTTTAGCAACAATGTCAGAACAACAAATTTATTCACCTTATGAAAGTTCCTCAGGGAATGGTACATAGTTTGGGAGAAAAAGATATTTCATTTTATATACATAACAAAGTAAATTAAATACATAAAATAAACAAACATATTGTATTTTCAAAACCAAACAAGTATGTCTAGTGGTAAACACATTTGTTTTTAGTATTTTGAGAGACTCTTACCTAGCCTTGAATACGGGCAAACCTGTAGAGTTTCCCCAACTATTACCACCACTACCTCTGGCATGCTGGTAATAAACACCACAAAACATGTCATTAGGAAACCTTCAATGAAATTACATCTCTATCATGTACTCTAAGAATGTATTATGAGTTTTTTATTAATAGAGATGGTATTCAAGATTTTGCCATTCATGAATCATATGCTGGACAACAAGGCTGACCAACTCACTAACTTCTATCTTCCAGTCCAAGATAGTTGAGTAACATTGAGTAACATTGAAACTACAGTGACGTCTAGCAGCAAACATAGTCAACATGATATATATTATATGAGAATCCTATAAATGCCCCAAATGTAATTAATTCAAGGATCCCAGCCTTTTCTCAAGGTGACAAGTATAGTTTTATTCATCAAATACTTCCTTAAATAAGCATCGCTAATAAATTAAAGAAATCATGTTTGATTTCCACCTCCCAAACTGTGACTTGTTTTAAACATTCAAATAAGAGTGCAATGAATGACTTTGATGTTAAGCTCTATTTTTAAAACAGCTGCTGTTGTATTATTGAATCTATGTGCACTGCAGATTAGCTTTAATATGGTGCATGTTAAAAAATAAAAGATGATTTTCTGCTAGCATAGTTAAATAGCTACTTCTAAAATGTAATTTATTTCATCCACATGGCCTGGAAATAAACAAGTCTGATATTTTACTTTAGAGAAATATGATAAAATTGGAATTGCAAATTTGCATTTATAATTTTATGTGAAAAAAATCATTTCCTGACTATAAATGGACAGATATTTTAAAATATTCTAAGAATTTTATTCCATATCATAAATGTGGCACAACTATTTCTTTCTTCAAACAACATTAGAATTTGATCCATGTAAATTGCCTACAGACTGTGAAGTTTCCTTGGTTTAGATTTTGCTTTACTACAGATTTTGTTTTTTCTTTTCTTTTCTTTCTTTTCCTTTCATTTATTTATTTATTTATGTATTTATTATTTATTTATTTAGAGACAGAGTCTAGCTCTGTTGTCACCCCAGGTTGGAATGCGGTGGCATAATCTCAGCTCACTGCAACTTTTGCCTCCTGGATTCAAGTGATTCTCCTGTCAGCTTCCCAAGTAGCTGAGATTACACGCACCTGCCACCACCATTATCCCGGCCAGTTTTTGCATTCTTTTTTTCAGTAGAGACAAGGTTTAGCCATTTTGGCCAGGCTGGTCTGGAACTCCTGACCTCAAGTGATCCACCAGCCTCGGCCTCCCAAAGTGTTGGGATTATTGGCGTGAGCCATCGCACACAACCCAGACGCTTCTTCTAATTAATGCAGGAATCTAACTCCCCAAGGGCTTTAGTGAAGCAAAATAAGTTTGGAGAGGATCTCCAGGTTTGTGCCAGTAGCCTCCATTAGGATCTCAACATTGACAGCTTCTCTTGTGTTATAGCAAATTAGGCTTTGCTAACACTAAGGTTTATGTGTTACATTAAAATATTTTTAAATTATTGCCATTACAAGAAAAAAAAATAGAAAACAATTTTTCCTATCTGGAAGCAAATATGAAAGTTTCTTCAGTTCTACATGATGTGGAAAAATATATTTTATTTTCTAAACTTTGCCAAGCTATCATAGATGTAACTGCCAATACAAAGAAATGAAAAGGAAAGTAGAAGCATGCCAAATGATGAAACATGTGTTGATATTTTTTATTCTGTTGAGAAGTGTGATGGGTGATGAAAAGAAAGCCTCTTTCTGCCTCCATTAAAAATATTAAACCGTAGCAAGTTTATATAAAGTTTAGTTTATATAGTGGAGGTTCTCCCGCTTTTTAGAATATGTCAAGTGCAAATTATGCATTTTTTGGAGAGTAAAAACTCATTTGAAATTAGTTGAGAAAGA